ATTGTCGAGGTGCTGTATTAAGGGTGCGTTTCTTTGAGGATCTCCATTTTGACTATTGAATCCAACAAAACAAATATTTGCTTTTCAGTTTACTAGAATATAAAATTAATGGACTTGTGAACATTAGAAAACTTATTGCGATTGAATTCATAAGATCAAAACTCAATCTGAATTCTAAGAATTCATGATTCATGATTGCTGAAGGACTCTTAGTTTATTTTTCTCTCGTTGTGAATCAAAAGAATCTGATATTAAGAATCTAATCTTGAAATATCCCAAAGAAACGCGTCCTGATTTTTGGAAAACTCTTAGCCGGCCTTAAAATAGAGAGAAGATGTTGTTGCGTCACGTTGCCATGGTAGCAAAATTTCTAGATGACAACCCGTGAAAACGTCACTTCAAAAGTGGATTCGCACTGTTTCAGACGTCATCGATATTATTCAATTTCATTTAATATGTGAATGTTGGCGAAATTTTCTGGGCTGAGTCGGAAAGGATCGGCCGTATTTAAGTTCAGAACAAGAAAAAGCGGAAAAATTTTGTGTTGTGTTCACCTACTTCATAAAGGGGGCGCGTCAAATTAGGACGTTTCATGTCGCAGTCGTGCAGCGACGGCTAAAAAATGAACAAAAAAGCCTACAAGTTGTTGTTTTTTTCGCCGTTCTCGTTGCTGTCACCGTCGTCGTTGCTTAAGCTTTCTTTTAATGTGATCAAAAAATTTTGCTGCCATGGTAACGGACGTTACACTTCTCCTCTCTATTGCTGTCTTAGAACACAATAAAACATGTTGACTACTAGTTACGCTTTGAAACATTGGCTATGTGAGCCATTATACTCAAATACGAGGTAGGGTTTTGATAGACAGAGGAATCTGGTCTCCAGGTTGGTCTCGCTTGCAAACAAAGAACAGAACAAGTGGTACAACTGCAGCATTAGAATTCCCAGCGATAAAATAATTAACAGTTAATGAATGAGGCTGAGTATCTTATGAAGAATTATGGAGATCGAGGAGGGTCTTATCCTCTTATCCTCCTCGATCTCCATAATTCATAATTCATATGATACGAAAGCGGACTTCAATAATTGTTTTATTATTCATTCAAAATAATTCCTAGTTTAAAAACATGGCTAAGACATGCTTACCTCCATCGATCCATCCATGTTAAGTTCATCTTCGATAGTGTGCGTTTAGGTTTGTCCAGCTCCGCAAATATTCTCCAAATAGCAGATGTCGCCCTCCGAGTTGTCTTCTTGCTGTTTTTGCTATGTTTTTAACTATTACTTCGCCTAGTTCCAGCTGTAGTTCTTACCCTTGAAACGGGTGAAGTGTCGGCCATTTTTGTTTTCACGACCAAAACAACTCAACCACGTCCCCAGGTCATCTCGGTTAACGGTGCATTACCTGTAGAGGGGCTGCATTTTTGACGTCATTTCCTCGTTAAACACAAAATTCTTCCAAATATGGTCATCAGTAACTGGTTATGGTGAATTAAACGTGTGCTTTTAGCCAATCAGAATCGGGGAAGTATTTTGAATGAATAATAATCACATTTAAGTATTCTCTCACCATCTGAACATCGGCTTTTATCCTCTTCTTCATTCACCAAGTTTTTAGTTTGTTTTTTCTGCTTAAGTTGTAGACCAAAATGAAATTACTTGTTAATTGGTCATCAATTATTCGACAAAATAAAGCCCTGTATAAAGCGGGATGAAACTTGTTTATTTTTGCGCGCAACTTGCCAGCCGTATTTAATAATTTGTTCTTATTTTAATGAAGATGGAGTGGACTGAAGATCACGATATTCAGCTTGCTAAAGAAGTTCTTGGAAGTGAGCCCTACCGCTTCAAGCCCTGAGCTGTGTAGGCTCGATTACCAGCCGTAAGAACTGTGGAGCGTGCGAAAATTTGGCAATACGTAGATCGCAAATAGGCTCAATGGAGCGACGAACATTGACATTCGAGCAACAGAGGGCTCAACTAGATGTCATCGTACAAGGGAACGAATTTCTCATCTGATAGACCTGATATGACACCATCATAATTATAAAAGTACACCAAAAACTCTCGGATCTCTCTTAGGGAACTCATTCTCAAACCTTCAATAAAGTTGAGAAAAGTCTTCGACCGTCACCTTTACTGAAATTTAAAGCTTGTTTCTCACGCCAAGTCGTCCCTCCCCAACCTGTCGCGGCCGAAGTCACCGTCCTCTATGTCGCTGTCCACCGTGGCTAAACTTATGGTCGGTACTGTATTGCGCGGTGACCTCACTTACCGTATTATCTCATCGTTGACCTCGTGCTTGTTCTTTTCTGGATTCAATATTCTTCAAATTCTTCGAATATTGACTTTTTGATCACGGGAAAACATAAGAAGGAAAAGAAAGAGAAGAAAGGAAAACACAAGCACAAAAGCAGGCATGAAAGGTAAAACTTAAAGTTTTGATGACGCATGAGGCTGGTCTTCTCATGTTTTGTTGTCTTTCAAAATCTGGGTATTCGTTCGTGAAGATGCGTCTTATGTACGATCTATGGTCCTAATTTGTGACTTTTTCATTCTCTATGGTCCTGTACAGCCGCAAGAGGAGGTGAGCAGATAGTTCTTTAGACGAGGATGTTTTGGTTATAAGCAGCAAAAGGTAGGGCACTTATTCTAGCCTGTTCTAGGCTCTCAGATTTCGTCTTCGAGCCCTCTCAATTCAGCGGGCCCAACTATCTCGGAGCCGGGAACAGGCTACACTTTAGCCTGCGTAGCAGACGCTTGGAAGTAGTGGGCACAAGAAAAAACGGGCGCGAGAAGGAGACACGCAAGGGGAGAGGGAGCTCCCTCACTCCTCGCATGTCCCCCTCGCGCGCGCTGGTTCTCTCTTTCGCCCTCTACTTCCACGCGCCTGCTACGCAGGCTAGCTACACTTCAAGTTCCGACCTATTGCTGTTATCGACCTTTGAGCTCTTGACATACAATGTGGCAATGACTTAAACAGGAGTTTAATTTTGCGGATTGGCCTTTGTTATTATATTGCTGTAGCTAATTTTTGAAATTGCAGGGAATTTTTTTACTATTTTCCGGCGTTAAAAATAACCACGACTCTGTTTGTTTGTTTTTTCATTGTGTTGTCTTATCCTAAAAAGTGACGGACTGCTCTTTTAAAGGATTACATGACTAATACCCTCCGTTTCTTCTGTTTCCACTAAATGCATCGATTCCACATTATTTATATACCGTATATATAGAGGATAATATATTGGCGCGTAGACTACGAGTAGTCCCCCATTTTTCCCCAGGGATAGTAGAGCGAGCGTGAAAATCACCCCACGCGAGAAAAGGCGACACGCGGCGGGGAGAGAGAAAATTTTTTCATGCGCGCTTGCGTTTCGCTCGTTCTACTATCCCTGAGGAAAAATGGGGGACTACTCGTAGTCTAATTGGCGCGCGGAGATATGGAATTTATCTTCGAGTGTTGAAATTCGATTCAGATCGATATCTCACGAGTGAGCGCCCAAGTATTATTCTGTTTTAAATTCATGGATATCATCTTGATAATTGGCACTTATTGTAATTTTTCACGTGCCAATTACGGAGTTTCTATAATAATATAATTATGAAGGTTTCAAGTCTACGCGTGTCAATTTGAAAATCTAAGAAAACACAGCTATTCCTACATTTCTAGTTTTTCGATATCGCTTGTCTGCAGCGTGGACAGGATGAAAAGTGACAGTATCGAGACTCGATCGAGACAGTGTGAAGACAGCATATTTTTTTAATTAAAAAAAAAAAGCTCTATCCCGACTCTAATAATCGACACTCTAAGGTACAACACATTCCAAGATGTAAAAAGTTTATAAAAAGGCTTAGTATACAAACTATTCATTTTGAAAAAAGCTATCGACCGTAATCGCCAGCATTGTATTTTTCATATCACAATCGCGGAAAAATATCTAGAACTTCTTAAAAAATCTGTGAATCGAAAAAATAATAGATACTTTTTCACCCACCTTGAAAACCGACCAAAATCTCGCCTATACATCACGTTGTTTAAAAGAAGAAATGAGCCACAAAATGTACTGAATTTTCACAAGACATTTCCAATATGGCTTCCGATACGCTGTCAACTTAAAAAAAATTGTGAATGCCTCATGAAAAGTCTTAAAAATATGCCTGAGAGCCTCGAAACGATGGCTGATTCTGTCCGACTCCGTCCACTGTTGTGAAAATTTTTGATCACTGGGGCGATGTTTTGAATTCTGTTTTGATAAACACAAGCGCGCCTTCTCATTGGTTGAAAAGTGTCGCGTGACCAGTTGGTCCTGTCCTTAATATTAGGCAGTCTAGTCCCTAGGCGTTCTCTCTTGATCCGTTGTCCGCGCAAAGTCTGGGAGAGAGCGGGCGAGAGAACGCGTTCTCGGCGAGTTTCCCGGTGACGTCAGAGCTCATGGTAGAGTCCAGGAATGACCAAGCCGAAAACGCCTGGGGACTAGGATATTCCGGACTGTTTATACAGCCACGATAAGCAATATCTTTCATGACATACACAAAAAAGTTTTCTTTTTATCGTGAGTATGGTACGCCAGTTCTCTTCAACAGCATTTCCCGATATCTCTGGTCATTAATTAAATCGCTAAGTCTCGTATCCCGTTTATAGGGAGCTAGTAATATCACAATTCCGCATATCCCTCTCCAATTTTCTTAAAATTCAGTATCTCAGCCTAAGAATAAGCCAGATCTCGGATAACGAGTAACTTATTGGGGACCCTCCAAATCTCTTGCATGCATAGCAGTCGTTTCCATTTCCTTTTAGCTGAGTGGGAAAAGCACACCAGGGAGGGAGGGTAGGGAGCATAAGAAGGAGCACAAAATAGAAACAGAGGGAAGGGGCGGGAAAGAAAAGGAATCACCTTATTTGGCTAAAAGGAGACAGAAGCGACTGCTACGCAGCCTAAATTAATTATATAGCGCTTATAAATCGCTGTTCTAAGCGCTTAAAAATTCCCAATTAAGACAATTTATAGGATCAAGCAACATGCTTTCTCGTGCGGATCCTCAGCTTGACTGCCTACAAGGTGTTTGTTTACTAATGCCAACTCACTACGAATTCTATCTACATACTTATGATCTTCACCGAAAATTTGTTTCATAATCATCAGTGCTTTCTCGTGAAGTTCTTTGGCTTGATTGTATTCTCCCAGGCGTTCGTACACTAATGCCACGTTGTTATAACTACTTGCTACATCGGCATGATCTTCACCAAAACTCTTTTTGCGAATTATCAGTGCTTTTTCGTGAAGTTCTTTGGCTTGATTGTATTGTCCCAGGCGTTTGTACACTAATGCCAAGTTGTTGTAACTTGTTGCTACATCGGCATGATCTTCACCAAAAATCTTTTTGTAAATAGTCAGTGCGTTTTCGTGAAGTTCTTTGGCTTGATTGTATTCTCCTAGGGTGTCGAACACTAATGCCAAGTTGTTGTAACTTGCTGCTACATCGGCATGATCTTCACCAAAAATCTTTTTGTAAATAGTAAGTGCTTTTTCGTGAAGTTCTTTGGCTTGATTGTATTCTCCTAGGGTGTCGCACCTTAATGCCAAGTTGTTGTAACTTGTTGCTACATCGGCATGATCTTCACCAAAAATCTTTTTGTAAATAGTCAGTGCGTTTTCGTGAAGTTCTTTGGCTTGATTGTATTCTCCCAGGTTTTCGTACACTAATGCCAAGTTGTTGTAACTCGCTGCTACATCGGCAGGATCTTCACCAAAAATCTTTTTGTAAATAGTAAGTGCTTTTTCGTGAAGTTCTTTGGCTTGATTGTATTCTCCCAGGCGTTCGTACTCTAATGCCAAGTTGTTATAACTTGTTGCTACAGCGGCATGATCTTCACCAAAAATCGTTTTGCGAATTATCAGTGCTTTTTCGTAAAGTTCTTTGGCTTGATTGTATTCTCCCACGCGTTCGTACACTAATGCCAAGATGTTATAACTACTTGCTACATCGGCATGAAATTCACCAAAACTCTTTTTGCGAATTATCAGTGCTTTCTCGTGAAGTTCTTTGGCTTGATTGTATTCTCCCAGGCGTTCGTACTCTAATGCCAAGTTGTTATAACTTGTTGCTACATCGGCATGATCTTCACCAAAAATCGTTTTGCAAATTATCAGTGCTTTTTCGTGAAGTTCTTTGGCTTGATTGTATTCTCCCAGGCGTTTGTACACTAATGCCAAGTTGTCATAACTTGTTCCTACAGCGGCATTATCTTCACCAAAAATCTTTTTTTTAATAATCAGTGCTTTTTCGTGAAGTTCTTTGGCTTGACTGTATTCTCCTAGGGTGTCGAACACTAATGCCAAGTTGTTGTAACTTGCTGCTACATCGGCATGATCTTCACCAAAACTCTTTTTGCGAATAATCAGTGCTTTTTCGTGAAGTTCTTTGGCTTGATTGTATTCTCCCAGGCGTTCGTACTCTAATCCCACGTTGTTATAACTACTTGCTACATCGGCATGATCTTCACCAAAACTCTTTTTGCGAATTATCACTGCTTTTTCGTGAAGTTCTTTGGCTTGATTGTATTCTCCCAGGCGTTTGTACACTAATGCCAAGTTGTCATAACTTGTTGCTACAGCGGCATGATCTTCACCAAAAATCTTTTTTTTAATAATCAGTGCTTTTTCGTGAAGTTCTTTGGCTTGATTGTATTCTCCTAGGGTGTCAAACACTAATGCCAAGTTGTTGTAACCTGCTGCTACATCGGCATGATCTTCACCAAAACTCTTTCTGCGAATTATCAGTGCTTTTTCGTGAAGTTCTTTGGCTTGATTGTATTCTCCCAGGCGTTGGTACTCTAATGCCAAGTTGTTATAACTTGCTGCTACAGCGGTATGATCTTCACCAAAAATCGTTTTGCGAATTATCAGTGCTTTTTCGTGAAGTTCTTTGCCTTGATTGTATTCTCCCAGGCGTTTGTACACTAATGCCAAGCTGTCATAACTTGTTGCTACATCGGCATGATCTTCACCAAAAATCTTTTTTTTAATAATCAGTGCTTTCTCGTGAAGTTCTTTGGCTTGATTGTATTCTCCCAGGCTGTCGTACACTAATGCCAAGTTGTTGTAACTTGTTGCTACATCGGCATGATCTTCACCAAAAATCTTTTTGTAAATAGTAAGTGCTTTTCCGTGAAGTTCTTTGGCTTGATTGTATTCTCCCAGGCGTTCATACTCTAATGCCAAGTTGTCATAACTACTTGCTACATCGGCATGATCTTCACCAAAACTCTTTTTGCGAATTATCAGTGCTCTTTCGTGAAGTTCTTTGGCTTGATTGTATTCTCCCAGGCGTTTGTACACTAATGCCAAGTTGTCATAACTTTTTGCTACAGCGGCATGATCTTCACCAAAAATCTTTTTTTTAATAATCAGTGCTTTTTCGTGAAGTTCTTTGGCTTGATTGTATTCTCCTAGGGTGTCGAACACTAATGCCAAGTTGTTGTAACTTGCTGCTACATCGGCATGATCTTCACCAAAACTCTTTTTGCGAATTATAAGTGCTTTTTCGTGAAGTTCTTTGGCTTGATTGTATTCTCCCAGGCGTTCGTACTCTAATGCCAAGTTGTTTTAACTTGTTGCTACATCGGCATGATCTTCACCAAAAATCGTTTTCCGAATTATCAGTGCTTTTTCGTGAAGTTCTTTGGCTTGATTGTATTCTCCCAGGCGTTTGTACACTAATGCCAAGTTGTCATAACTTTTTGCTACAGCGGCATGATCTTCACCAAAAATCTTTTTTTTAATAATCAGTGCTTTTTCGTGAAGTTCTTTGGCTTGATTGTATTCTCCTAGGGTGTAGAACACTAATGCCAAGTTGTTGTAACTTGCTGCTACATCGGCATGATCTTCACCAAAACTCTTTTTGCGAATTATCAGTGCTTTTTGGTGAAGTTCTTTGGCTTGATTGTATTCTCCCAGGCGTTGGTACTCTAATGCCAAGTTGTTATAACTACTTGCTACATCGGCATGATCTTCACCAAAACTCTTTTTGCAAATTATCAGTGCTTTTTCGTGAAGTTCTTTGGCTTCATTGTATTCTCCCAGGAGTTTGTACACTAATGCCAAGTTGTCATAACTTGTTCCTACATCGGCATGATCTTCACCAAAAATCTTTTTTTTAATAATCAGTGCTTTTTCGTGAAGTTGTTTGGCTTGATTGTATTCTCCCAGGCTGTAGTACACTAATGCCAAGTTGTTGTAACTTGCTGCTACATCGGCATGATCTTCACCAAAAATCTTTTTGTAAATAGTAAGTGCTTTTTCGTGAAGTTCTTTGGCTTGATTGTATTCTCCAAGGCGTTCGTACTCTAATGCCAAGTTGTTATAACTACTTGCTACATCGGCATGATCTTCACCAAAACTCTTTTTGCGAATTATCAGTGCTTTTTCGTGAAGTTCTTTGGCTTGATTGTATTCTCCCAGGCGTTTGTACACTAATGCCAAGTTGTCATAACTTGTTGCTACAGCGGCATGATCTTCACCAAAAATCTTTTTTTTAATAATCAGTGCTTTTTCGTGAAGTTCTTTGGCTTGATTGTATTCTCCTAGGGTGTCGAACACTAATGCCAAGTTGTTGTAACTTGCTGCTACATCGGCATGATCTTCACCAAAACTCTTTTTGCGAATTATCAGTGCTTTTTGGTGAAGTTCTTTGGCTTGATTGTATTCTCCCAGGCGTTGGTACTCTAATGCCAAGTTGTTATAACTACTTGCTACATCGGCATGATCTTCACCAAAACTCTTTTTGCGAATTATCAGTGCTTTTTTGTGAAGTTCTTTGGCTTGATTGTATTCTCCCAGGCGTTTGTACACTAATGCCAAGTTGTCATAACTTGTTGCTACATCGGCATGATCTTCACCAAAAATCTTTTTTTTAATAATCAGTGCTTTTTCGTGAAGTTGTTTGGCTTGATTGTATTCTCCCAGGCTGTCGTACACTAATGCCAAGTTGTTGTAACTTGCTGCTACATCGGCATGATCTTCACCAAAAATCTTTTTGTAAATAGTAAGTGCTTTTTCGCGAAGTTCTTTGGCTTGATTGTATTCTCCCAGGCGTTGGTACTCTAATGCCAAGTTGTTATAACTAGTTGCTACATCGGCATGATCTTCACCAAAACTCTTTTTGCGAATGATCAGTGCTTTTTCGTGAAGTTCTTTGGCTTGATTGTATTCTCCCAGGCGTCTGTACACTAATGCCAAGTTGTCATAACTTGTTGCTACATCGGCATGATCTTCACCAAAAATCTTTTTTTTAATAATCAGTGCTTTTTCGTGAAGTTGTTTGGCTTGATTGTATTCTCCCAGGCTGTCGTACACTAATGCCAAGTTGTTGTAACTTGCTGCTACATCGGCATGAACTTCACCAAAAATCTTTTTGTAAATAGTAAGTGCTTTTTCGTGAAGTTCTTTGGCTTGATTGTATTCTCCAAGGCGTTCGTACTCTAATGCCAAGTTGTTATAACTACTTGCTACATCGGCATGATCTTCACCAAAACTCTTTTTGCGAATTATCAGTGCTTTTTCGTGAAGTTCTTTGGCCTGACTGTATTCTCCTAGGGTGTCGAACACTAATGCCAAGTTGTTGTAACTTGCTGCTACATCGGCATGATCTTCACCAAAACTCTTTTTGCGAATAATCAGTGCTTTTTCGTGAAGTTCTTTGGCTTGATTGTATTCTCCCAGGCGTTCGTACTCTAATCCCACGTTGTTATAACTACTTGCTACATCGGCATGATCTTCACCAAAACTCTTTTTGCGAATTATCAGTGCTTTTTCGTGAAGTTCTTTGGCTTGATTGTATTCTCCCAGGCGTTTGTACACTAATGCCAAGTTGTCATAACTTGTTGCTACAGCGGCATGATCTTCACCAAAAATCTTTTTTTTAATAATCAGTGCTTTTTCGTGAAGTTCTTTGGCTTGATTGTATTCTCCTAGGGTGTCAAACACTAATGCCAAGTTGTTGTAACCTGCTGCTACATCGGCATGATCTTCACCAAAACTCTTTCTGCGAATTATCAGTGCTTTTTCGTGAAGTTCTTTGGCTTGATTGTATTCTCCCAGGCGTTGGTACTCTAATGCCAAGTTGTTATAACTTGCTGCTACAGCGGTATGATCTTCACCAAAAATCGTTTTGCGAATTATCAGTGCTTTTTCGTGAAGTTCTTTGCCTTGATTGTATTCTCCCAGGCGTTTGTACACTAATGCCAAGCTGTCATAACTTGTTGCTACATCGGCATGATCTTCACCAAAAATCTTTTTTTTAATAATCAGTGCTTTCTCGTGAAGTTCTTTGGCTTGATTGTATTCTCCCAGGCTGTCGTACACTAATGCCAAGTTGTTGTAACTTGTTGCTACATCGGCATGATCTTCACCAAAAATCTTTTTGTAAATAGTAAGTGCTTTTTCGTGAAGTTCTTTGGCTTGATTGTATTCTCCCAGGCGTTCATACTCTAATGCCAAGTTGTCATAACTAGTTGCTACATCGGCATGATCTTCACCAAAACTCTTTTTGCGAATTATCAGTGCTCTTTCGTGAAGTTCTTTGGCTTGATTGTATTCTCCCAGGCGTTTGTACACTAATGCCAAGTTGTCATAACTTTTTGCTACAGCGGCATGATCTTCACCAAAAATCTTTTTTTTAATAATCAGTGCTTTTTCGTGAAGTTCTTTGGCTTGATTGTATTCTCCTAGGGTGTCGAACACTAATGCCAAGTTGTTGTAACTTGCTGCTACATCGGCATGATCTTCACCAAAACTCTTTTTGCGAATTATAAGTGCTTTTTCGTGAAGTTCTTTGGCTTGATTGTATTCTCCCAGGCGTTCGTACTCTAATGCCAAGTTGTTTTAACTTGTTGCTACATCGGCATGATCTTCACCAAAAATCGTTTTGCGAATTATCAGTGCTTTTTCGTGAAGTTCTTTGGCTTGATTGTATTCTCCCAGGCGTTTGTACACTAATGCCAAGTTGTCATAACTTTTTGCTACAGCGGCATGATCTTCACCAAAAATCTTTTTTTTAATAATCAGTGCTTTTTCGTGAAGTTCTTTGGCTTGATTGTATTCTCCTAGGGTGTAGAACACTAATGCCAAGTTGTTGTAACTTGCTGCTACATCGGCATGATCTTCACCAAAACTCTTTTTGCGAATTATCAGTGCTTTTTGGTGAAGTTCTTTGGCTTGATTGTATTCTCCCAGGCGTTGGTACTCTAATGCCAAGTTGTTATAACTACTTGCTACATCGGCATGATCTTCACCAAAACTCTTTTTGCGAATTATCACTGCTTTTTCGTGAAGTTCTTTGGCTTCATTGTATTCTCCCAGGCGTTTGTACACTAATGCCAAGTTGTCATAACTTGTTCCTACATCGGCATGATCTTCACCAAAAATCTTTTTTTTAATAATCAGTGCTTTTTCGTGAAGTTGTTTGGCTTGATTGTATTCTCCCAGGCTGTCGTACAATAATGCCAAGTTGTTATAACTTGCTGCTACATCGGCATGATCTTCACCAAAACTCTTTTTGCGAATTATCAGTGCTTTTTGGTGAAGTTCTTTGGCTTGATTGTATTCTCCCAGGCGTTGGTACTCTAATGCCAAGTTGTTATAACTACTTGCTACATCGGCATGATCTTCACCAAAACTCTTTTTGCGAATTATCAGTGCTTTTTCGTGAAGTTCTTTGGCTTGATTGTATTCTCCCAGGCGTTTGTACACTAATGCCAAGTTGTCATAACTTGTTGCTACATCGGCATGATCTTCACCAAAAATCTTTTTTTTAATAATCAGTGCTTTTTCGTGAAGTTGTTTGGCTTGATTGTATTCTCCCAGGCTGTAGTACACTAATGCCAAGTTGTTGTAACTTGCTGCTACATCGGCATGATCTTCACCAAAAATCTTTTTGTAAATAGTAAGTGCTTTTTCGTGAAGTTCTTTGGCTTGATTGTATTCTCCAAGGCGTTCGTACTCTAATGCCAAGTTGTTATAACTACTTGCTACATCGGCATGATCTTCACCAAAACTCTTTTTGCGAATTATCAGTGCTTTTTCGTGAAGTTCTTTGGCTTGATTGTATTCTCCCAGGCGTTTGTACACTAATGCCAAGTTGTCATAACTTGTTGCTACAGCGGCATGATCTTCACAAAAATCTTTTTTTAATAATCAGTGCTTTTTCGTGAAGTTCTTTGGCTTGATTGTATTCTCCTAGGGTGTCGAACACTAATGCCAAGTTGTTGTAACTTGCTGCTACATCGGCATGATCTTCACCAAAACTCTTTTTGCGAATTATCAGTGCTTTTTGGTGAAGTTCTTTGGCTTGATTGTATTCTCCCAGGCGTTGGTACTCTAATGCCAAGTTGTTATAACTACTTGCTACATCGGCATGATCTTCACCAAAACTCTTTTTGCGAATTATCAGTGCTTTTTTGTGAAGTTCTTTGGCTTGATTGTATTCTCCCAGGCGTTTGTACACTAATGCCAAGTTGTCATAACTTGTTGCTACATCGGCATGATCTTCACCAAAAATCTTTTTTTTAATAATCAGTGCTTTTTCGTGA